TCTCTCGCCCTCTCTCTCTCTCGCCCTCTCTCTCTCTCTCCCTCTTCTCTCTCTCTCCTCTCTCTCTCTCTCTCTCTCTCTCTCTTCTCTCCCTCTCTCTCTCTCTCTCTCTCTCTCTCTCTCTCTCTCTCTCTCTCTCTCTCTCTCTCCTCTCTCTTCTCCTCTCTCGCTCTCTCTCTCTCTCTCTCCTCTTCTCTCCTCTCTGCTCTCTCTCTCTCTCTCTCTCTCTCTCTCTCTCTCTCTCTCTCTCTCTCTCTCTCTCTCTCCTCTCTCTCTCTCTCTCTCTCTCTCTTCTCTCTCTCTTTCTTCTCTCTCTCTCTCTCTCTCTTTCTCTCTCTCTCTCTCTCTCTCTCTCTCTCTCTCTCTCTCTCTCTCTCTCTCTCTCTCTCTCCTCTCTTCTCTCTCTCTCTCTCTCTTCTCTCCGTCTCTCCTCTCTCTCTCTCTCTTCTCTCTCTCTCTCTCTCTCTCTCTCTCTCTCTCTCTCTCTCCTCTCTCTCCTCTCTCTCTCCCTCCCCTCTCTCTCCCTCTCCCTCTCCCTTCTCCCTCTCTCCCTCTCTCCCTCTCTCTCTCTCTCTCTCTCTCTCTCTCTCTCTCTCTCTCTCTCTCTCTCTTCTCTCTCTCTCTCTCTCTCTCTCTCTCTCTCTCTCTCTTCTCTCTCTTCTCTCTCTCCTCTCTCTCTCTCTCTCTCTCTCCCTCTCCTCTCTCTCTCTCTCTCTCCCTCTCTCTCTCTCTCTCTCTCTCTCTCTCTCTCTCTCTCTCTCTCTCTCTCTCTCTCTCTCTCTCTCTCTCTCTCTCTCTCTCTCTCTCTCTCTCTCCTCTCTCTCTCTCTCTCTCTCTCTCTCTCTCTCTCTCTCTCTCTCTCTCTCTCTCTCTCTCTCTCTCTCTCCTCTCTCTCTCTCCTCTCTCTCTCTCTCTCTCCTCTCCTCTCCTCCCTCCATCACAAACATATTCTAACTTAAATATACAAAAAAAAATCATATCCATTTGTAAATGTCTGAGAGAGAAAGGAGAAGGGAGGACATAAAAGTGAGGACAAGGAGGGAGCCAGACAAACAGAGGCAGTAGGGCATAGAATGTAATTCAGAATAAAGAAGGAAGTTGACTTAGAGAAAAAGGAATAGATGGAAACAGATTGCAGAGGAAAAAGATGAGAGAAAGAATGAGAAAATGAGACTGTTATTGCCATAGATACTCAATTGTTAATTTTTAGTTGTGAGAGTGGAGTGCTGTTTGGAACATAAATACTTACTGTCAACCATTATAATTTTTTTACATTAATCACTATTTTCTATTATTTGATCTAATGTCCTGTCTTTGTAGAAATAATCTTAGTATAGTTTTATATTATGATGTGTTTTCTTTTTCAAATCTTTAATCAGCAAAGAGTGAAATAAATAAAGGAGGAAGTAATTATTGAGGGAAAGAGACAGCTTCTTGATATTTGCAATATTCTTAACTCTAAAAATGGAAACAGCAACAACTGTGCTTATGAAATTAAACATTCTGACACTGCACGTGATGAACTTGATGACAGCCCCCAGTGACTGTGGCGTCTCTTCTAGGGGCAAGTGAGGTCTGGATGGGCCAGGCAAAGCAGCAATGTCGTGCACCCCCTGCACCAGCATCCTCCCACGCCAGGACAGAGCCAAAGTCATCAGACATACCAGAGACCTGGGGGCAAGAGCGACAGTCGTGCTCCCAGCAGCGACGGGTCTCAGGGCATAGCAGCTGATTTGAACATGTCACTAGACAAGCGGTGCTGCTTGCTGTGTGGCTATAAGGGACAAGATGTTTCTCAATTACGCAAGCATCTCCGCATTCACACTGGGGAGAAGCCCTACCAGTGTCCTCATTGTGACTATTGCTCAGCCCAAAGCAGTAATTTACGAGTGCACATGAAGAGGCATCACCAGCAGGAGTTACCAAATAATTTGCAGCACCAGCAACAGCATCAGTACACCAATACTGTATTGCTAGACTGATATGACCTCTGATTTAGAGAGGAGATTGCTGACCTCACCTTCTAGATGTAGAAAGGCAACAAAACTATAGATTGTCATTGTATGATGCCACATTATTGCATATCTGCTTGTGGGTGTGTATGTGTATGTGGAGAATAGAAGCAAGAATTATTTTCTTCCAAACCCTTTATTTTTTTTTTCTTTCCATTTTTTGTGACATAATTTTGTTTACTTTCAACATTCTTGTCTTTTCTTTGTATTTTGCTTATCTTATTCTCCCCATTATCATATTCATCATTAGCCATATCTTCTTCAGTCGTCAACTTTTGTTATCCCTTTCTCTTCCTCTTATGGCCTAGAGCTGTATTTAACCCAATGCCACTGGGTAAAATAGTTTGGCAAGTGGACGTGATAATGGGATTGTTGGCGTACATGAGCAGTTTCCCCTATTTGGGCCCTGCTCATTTGGTAGTTTGTGAGCAACATTTGGCACCTAAAACCTTTTATTTTGCTTTAATTTTTAAAAATATTATAAATTTGAAGGTTTACCTTCATTATAGGTGCTATTGACTAAAATCTGTACCATATAAATGAAGCCACTACTATCTGAGAAAAACAAACTCTGTCTGACAACAATGTTGTGCAGTAATGGTCATGATAAGATGCCATCAGTTTTTCGGTCCACAACAGCCATGGCATGTAATTAATTACATGCCACCTGGTGGCTAGTGGTTAAATTATGTATGACATGTAGATAATGACATGAAAGTGTTTATATATGACCTTTTGTCCAAGATTCATGTTCTATGTGAAGCTTTGACATGAGTGTTAATATATGTTACAAAAATGTTTCATATGCAACAGAGCAAGAATTTTTTTCCTTTACAATCAGAGCAATACCCCCTTTCATTTGTTTATGCACTAAAGAGTTCAGGAATCATTTCACATAGACCAGTTCTTGGATACCTTTTTGTATATTTTGTTATAATTTACATAATTTATATATGTATCTATTTTTGAAAAGTGGAGATTGAAGACAATTGATTATTATTTATATAAGAAAATTGGTTTGAAGGTAATCACATATTTTAGTAGCTTCATATTGTAAAGCAATATAATTCTATATTATTTTTCGATATATACTGTGTAATGAATCAAAATATAGAAATCAAGAAGTGGTTAAGAAAATCAACTTTTCGTGTAATTAGTAGATAGTGTACTCCCAAATACAAGAATAAAGTCATCATCAAAAGAGGGGACAGCAAGATAAATTCATTACTGAAAAGGTTTGTAAATGTGAAAGGCATGTTTACAGTTGAAATGAGTTCTCATGATTACTGTATTTTTGATAAAACACTGTGTTGCATATTTACGTACAGAATGGAAAGTCTTCCAAAATGCCCTTTTTAAGGCCCTTTTATGATATTGCAGTAGATATTCTTGATCTGCTCTAGATTTTGGTGATAATGAGAGTATTCACCTGTCCACTATGGGTACCTCCAAGTGAAAAACCCTATTTCTGGGAGGTAGCTATAGCAGCGACTGCCTGTTGCCAGTAACACGCAAGTGAGGCACACTCAACAAGTGACCCAGAGTGTAATCTGAGAACAAAAGTTTCTCACATATGAGATGGCTAGCTACTGCCAAATTCTGGCTATTTCACCACTGAGACACCCATCGTTGTTAGGTTAATCATAATAGTACTGTATTTTCTATTTAACTTTTTTTATTATGTATGATTTTGAACAGATGTTACTCCAGTATTTGCATATTTTGTATTTATTCATTGATGGGAGGAGGGAAATAACAATAAGAACCTCATGTGTGGATTATGGGTGTGTTCTTTTGATGGAAAATGTATTGTCATAGGTGCATGCTATTTGTGAATGTTTATACCTGTGCATTTTTATGATTTTATTTATTAGTTTTGCTCGTAGTGAATATGTCTATGATGTATTTATATGTTCTGTATATGTTGGTGTATGGTAATTGTAATCTGATGTGGAAAAGAGGTACAGCATGGATTTGATTGATTGATTTTTTTTTTTTTTTTTTTTTTTTTTTTTTTTTTTTTTTAATGTATGTATGTATGTACATGCGTGCATATGTGCTTGTGTGTGTACGTGCATGTGTTCTTGTGTGTGTGCATGCATGTGTACTTGTGTGCTTGTCTATGTGTGCATTTGTGCTTGTGTTTTGTGTTCTTTTCTTTTTATATATGTGTGTGTGTGTGTGTGTGTGTGTGTGTGTGTGTGTGTGTGTGTGTGTGTGTGTGTGTGTGTGTGTGTGTGTGTGTGTGTGTGTGTGTGTGTGTGTAAGAGAGAGACAGACAGACAGAAAGACAGAGAGAAAGAGTGTTTTAGCTATAATACCTTGTGAGACAATTAGCATATCATTTCGTTGCTGAACTGTGTTGGTAGGATATGTTCCAAAGATGTTTCGTGCAAGATTTGTCGAAATAACTATATTTTACAAGATTTTTGATGATTGTCTTGATAAGACATCTGGTAGTGAGGGAGATTTTTTTTTTTTTTTTTTTTTTTCAGCTTCAACATTTTGAAAAATATTAGTTTATTCTTTAGGTAATATTATCTTAAAAATAAAAGTTTCATAATTATATATATATAACATCTTTAGATATGTTTGTTACATTGATGTGGGATGATTATGGTTTTAGTAGAGAAGAAATGATGAATTATTTGAGTTACCACTGGTTAATATTTTCATGCTTGAAAGTGGTAGCACATTTGAAAGAGCTGACATATTTTTAGGTCTTGAAGGATGGTTCATAGTTGATCTGAGTCCATCTATAAATTACATTGTTTCCAGTTTCATTTATAGGGAGTTGAACAGATTTTAGTTTAAAAAGCAAATTAACTTTTTATTGTCAAAATATGTATCTGTAATGAAGTAAAGAAATATCTCTACTGCAGCAGTTGTATTTTATTTATTATTAATGAACATCAGTTCAAATTTTTAATTAGTTTCTTGTTAAGAGGTGAAGGAGCCTAAGGGTTGATTATTGTCTGTTTACTTCTAGGATTCGGTTGAAGACACAGTCCATAGAGTGAGAGGATCAGTATGTACTGAGGGAGGTATGCCAAGAGGTTCGTACCCTCTGAGTCACTATGGGATGGATGTGCCTCATCTGGGCAACAGTCTGATGGAGGCGGATGGGCGTCAAGCCAAACAGTGGAGATGTTTGTTCCCAGAATGTGGGTATGTTACCGACAGGGAATCCTGGCTCAGGCAGCATTATCGCAAACATACTGGTGAGAAACCCTTCTCCTGTCCATATTGCTCATTCAGGTCTGCTCAGAAGGGTAACCTTAATGTTCATATAAAGAGAGTTCATGGTTCTGACCAGTTCAATGCTGATGGATCTGCCATTAAAACAGATTTCCTTAACATTTCATGAAGAAAGAAGGCACTCAGTGTAGTCTCCCCAGTGCTTTAAAACTGGCCCAAGGGCATAGCTTTGCTATTATTCACTTATTGTTACAGAGATGAGGACCCTAAGTGAATGCATGTTCAGCAGAGTAGAAGTTGTTATGAGTTTTACAAAGAAGTCATTACTGTTCAATTTAGCTTGTGCTTTGTACAGTTTGGTATAGTTTTTCTTAATATCAGAAAACAATTGTAACCACTAATTACACATAAGAGTATGCAATAGTTGTATAGGTAATTCATTCAAGGCTTCAGGTCTTGATATTTACACTTGCATATCACATGTCACTGAACTAGCAGAACAAGGGTTCTTGCAGGGTTACTTAGAATCCCACACAAATAATGATAGGAAACCCAAAAGTAATCACTAACTTTTTCCTCTGTATGTACCACAACATACTTTAATGCATGTGATGGATAACCTCTGATGTGTAAAAATATCTAGTAGATGATTTTGCCACTACTGTATATATTTAACTTTATTTATTTATGTATGTAAACAGTAGGGTTGGGCTATTTGTAGTATGAAAAGAATTACTTTGCAACACATTTGAAACTCACTGATGGTACCTTTACCTTACAGTACCTGTTGGACATAAATTTATTATGGAATGTGAAGACTTGACTCAGGGATTATTCCTATAACTATTTCTGGAGAAGCAGAAGGATGGATTGGGCCATTTTATAATAATTTTATTTCTAGTCTTTTGACATTAAAACATCAGGATGTCATAAAAGTACTCCAGATATGTAAAGGATAGATTTTATACTAGGATTAGTTTTAGGTAATACATTGAATGTGGTGGCCATTTTCAATTACCTGTACATCATTTTTTACAGTTGGCATGTATCAGATATCAGTGAAATATTTTCAGTTTTTTTTTTTCAGATTAAGATGCAATGGAACATGCTTTTCATTTATCTGAACTAAAGTATTGAATATTGTAAGTATAGTTATGGTGTATTTTAAATCATATAACTGTAGTTGCTGTCCCCCCAAAAAATATTTGTTAAATGATAAAAGAAATAATTGATTTGATTAATACAACTGTATGAAGACATTTACGTGAAAGACAGTGTTGTGTACCATGCATTGTGCTTGTTAAGAATGATGATATAAAAAAAGAGGGGGAAATGATAAAAGACCAGGTCGTGTAAATGTTCATTATGACTTTTGCAGATAAGCATCTTGCTGAATACTTTGTACCTAATTTTATTAGCCAAATGTAATAACAATTTTCTTTGTATGTGCAATACAAAAGGATTCTTACATTGCTGTAAATGATACATTCAGAGTGCCAAATAAGGAAAGAAAAGAAGTATTCTTAAAATCATCTTATGAGAATAAGGGCTTTGAATATTCCGGAGAAAAAAAATTAAAAGGAAAGGCAAGCAGCACCAAGCTTTTGCTGATTGTGTTGAAGCTCTTTACTTTCTCCTTGAAAATGTACTATTGTAGTCACAAAATTGGATATCAGTTATTGCCATAGTCAGATTACTGTAATAGTTTGTATATTATAATTTATGAAGATGTTGAGTTTACAGAAATGATATTCTTATCTACAAATGTATTTGTTTTTCCTAAGC